TTTATTTGTTAAAAATCCATTCCTGGTCTGTGTGACTCCTTACAGGGAATGGTTGGTGGCAGCTTAGTGAAACTGTGGCATATCCCAGTAGGTCTGGGTTTGTCACAATAATCTTTTGAGATTTTCAGAGCTCTTTATTAGGCAAGATGTTACGAAAGAAGCAAACAACAAAAAATTGGGGGGGGGGAAGGGGTGAGACTAATCTTAAAAGTCATGTTATCTACATCTGAGATGTGGACAAAGATTTAAAAGGTTCAGTCAAAACCCTTCACCTCAAAAAACCTATTAGAATATTGGAAGATTTCTCTTTTGATGCCTTCTTTTTCCTTTGAGGATAGCAACAGGCAGACAAGACAGCAGCAAAAATAATCCAGATAAGTGGGGGGAAATCCCCCCCAACAAATCTAGAAAAAGGCAAAAAAAGGAATGGATTCAAGTTGGAGGCACACCAGGCTGGCAACAATCCAAGATAGAGGGGAGAAGAAGTTCACTACATGATAACCCCACAAGGAACAACTGAAGCAGAGCATTCCTTGCTGGATTCTAGGCCCTTTTACCCATTCAAAAGTCCAACACTTTGTAAACATTCTGATTGACAGCCCTCGCAGTGTTACTGGGTGAAACATTTCTGAGACATATTCTGATTGATAGTGTTACTGGGTGAAACATTTCTGAGACACCTTGAAAGACAAAGGGTGAAAGGCATCAAAAGGTTACATAAAAGAGGAAACACAAAAGAACTATTAAATTTTCATGCACCCCTCTTTCATAAATGTATCATCAATGTAGAGGCTCTGTCAGCAATTGCCAAAATACTGTAAGATCCCCATCTCCACAAAATCAATATCTGCATTTCCATTTGTCGATAGTCTGAAAATATAAAAAATATTGAAACAAATAAAATCCAGAAAAAAAAATATTTTCACATCACCGGAACTGACCACTAAAGGAATCCAGAGACCATGCTGAATATTTGTTAGTGAAGAATACATAGCATGGTCTCTGGTACCCTCTAGTGGCCAGTTCTGCTAATGTATATGGGGAAAAATATGTTTTTTCCCATTTTCCATGCTATACATGTTTACTTTTGACAGCTCCATTGTTTCCTATGATATGGTTTTTCCCATTTTCCATGCTATATATATGTTTACTATTATTATTCCATATAGGAATACAGTGGTGCCTCGCACAACGGGTGCCTCACACAACGATGAATTCACACAACGATGCCTTTTTCTGTTAAATTTGCCGCCTCACACAGCGATGTTTCCTATGGGGGGATTTTCACACAACGATGTCTCTTTTTCGTTCCTGTAAAAGTGTCTTACAATGTTTGGAAGCCGTTTTAAATGCTTGCACTGGTTAGCCCACCTCCTGAAACCTATGCAAACTGATTTTGGTGTTGTTCTGACACTTCATTAATTTATGGTAATTTTTTGTTTTCTCCATTGGAAACCATTAGACCATTCAATGGTTTTCAATGGAGAAAACAAAAAATTACCATAAATTAATGAAGTGTCAGAACAACACCAAAATCAGTTTGCATAGGTTTCAGGAGGTGGGCTAACCAGTGCAAGCATTTAAAACGGCTTCCAAACATTGTAAGACACTTTTACAGGAACGAAAAAGAGACATCGTTGTGTGAAAATCCCCCCATAGGAAACATCGCTGTGTGAGGCGGCAAATTTAACAGAAAAAGGCATCGTTGTGTGAATTCATCGTTGTGTGAGGCACCCGTTGTGCGAGGCACCACTGTATTCCTATATGGAATAATAATAGTAAACATATATATAGCATGGAAAATGGGAAAAACCATATTTTCCCCATATACATTAGCAGAACTGGCCACTAGAGGGTACCAGAGACCATGCTATGTATTCTTCACTAACAAGTATTCAGCATGGTCTCTGGATTCTCTCTCTCTCTCTCATGTTTACTATTTATTATTCCATATAGGAATTCACTCTGTCTCTCATCCATATATATATGTGTGTGTGTGTATTCTTCATATCCATAGTATGTTTACTATGTATATATAGTGTTTACTATTATCCACAGTTTCCAGTACCCACAATGGGTCTTGGAACCAATCCCCAGCAGATATGGAGGCCAGTACCCACGATATGGTGGTCCTACTTCCAATCCCCAGCAGATATGGTGGTCCTACTTGTACAAATTACATGAAAAAGAGACTGTGTATTTTGGATCCATCCATATACTACATATTGTGGGATATAATAGACTGTCAAACTATTATATTAAAGGGTAGCAGAGAGATGAAAACATCAGTCTTGTTTGTCACTTGGAGACAATTGGGAGGAAAATAAGACCTTAACTAAAGCAAACACAAAATGCAAGAGGCTAAGATATAGAAGGAAGAATCCTGGTGGTCAGGAGAGTCCAGGGTGGGGAACAAGATAGTCCTAGCTTCCATGTATGTTTCAAAACAAAATGCTACAACAGGCTTCGGCTGGAGATAGAATTTTTAAGCTGTAGCTTAACAAACATGCATCTAAGCTTTTCCTCTGGCCCTGCTAATGAATGTGGCATATGAATCGACAAAAAATGGGAAACAGTTTGTTTACATTTTCTTTAAAAAGGCGTTTATTTATTTTTTTCTTGTTCTTCTATGTTCTTATTTATGTTTCATCAACTGCTCTTGTCAAGTTCACTTTAATCATATGGGTAGTTGGGGATGTTCTTCCCCGAAGATGAGCCAGGAAAATCTGTGGTCTGGGTACATTGCTGGAGTTTTCATGTTTGGTCTGTGTGCCAGAATCCTTTGGGGGGTACACCTGGCTGCAATTGTCTCTTCTCATGTGACTGAGGTTTGTCTGCACAGAGTGAGTTAACTTTTTGCGCAGATTAGCCTGAATGCAGAAGACAAAGATATTAAAGCAACCACAAATGCACCCAGATATATTAAAGAATTTATATAAAGTCTTTATACTGTAAGTATGAACAATTCAAAACCAAATGAATTCTGGTGATAGGCAACAGCAGTTCTTAAGTCATCAGTGAGTTAATGAGATTAGGTCACTTACCAGAAGTTTACTGTTTAGCTATATCATGTAATCATCTTTAGATCTGCATGATCTATACCTACTACTAAGATATGAATGGAGCTTGCATACAACCAAAGCTGGTAATTCTTACTCATTTCAGTGAGGTTTGTGCTTTTGATTCATAAGTCAACTGTGCAATTTCTAGTTCTGAACATATCTGAAAGACTTTCATGACAGTTGCCAGTTGATAAGAACACAGGCAAGTTTACAGGAACTGATTCCTGGGATTCTGGATTTCAAGTTGTCAAATGCTGTCTTTGAATGGATTAATGGCAAGGCATGCAACATTTATTTATGAAATGTAAATTTTGCATTCCCACCACACTATACTATTCCAATCAAACCTGTAGACTGGAGGAGAGCAACATGCACCAGATGTCCAAATGCAGCCAGCACCTCCATACCACAAAAGAAATTAAAAATGGGGGAGGGAAAGCAGGTGACTTAAAAGTCTCCTTGTGTTCTCCAACATGTGAAGGGGGAGATTCTGTCATGTTTTAGAGCCTCTACATTATTTAGAACAATGTTTAAAATATTTCTGAGACTATAGTATTCTAGAAAAATAGAGAAGATTCAGCCCTTCAAGACCATTGTGTGCAATTAATCATTAACAGAACAGAGAAACCATTATTATTGTAGCTTATGTGTCCAGCTCTCAGAAAATGTTGAAACAAACCAGTTTGATGGCTTTTCTTCTTAGCTCCCATTCATTCCACTCATAATCCTTCACAATAGTTGGCGGCAAAATATGGGTGTCAGTCTGAGTACTAGTGTCACATTTAGTGATTGCTAGCAAGTTCTTGTCTTTGGCTCTGATCTGGAACAAAAAAAATGGATACTATTGTTTTCATTGTAACATTTTAAAAATAATGGTAGAGTAGCTTATCTTAGATATTAAAGAATATGCTTTTTTCTGGGCCAACACATTTTGTTTTATTTTTATCAAGGATTAATAAATACTACAGGGACAGGTATTAGCACACTATCTGATGGGGCTGCTTTGGTATTGAGGATACGTAATCAGTCTCTAAAGACAGCTGCCCCAGAACGGTGCTGACAGCCATGTTAATTGCACCACCAGTCAACAGTGAACTGCAACAGGCAACATATTGTCAACTCAAACATAATAGCATCAGACAAATGAAATAATTACTACCTCTTCTTTGAAATACTTCCTATATCTTTGAAATACTTCCTATACTAAGAAAAGCCACAGGATCCACAGCACTTCTTTCCACCCCCAAGAAAGTACTAGTCCTTCCACATGAAACCAGAAGTGATCAGAAGGCCACTTTCTGGTTTTTGGAGTTTTTGAAAAAATCAGTTTTGAAGGGGAAAAATACTGGAAATAATATGAATTTGGGACAGGCTGATCACATTTCTTCTTGTTGGTCACATGACACAACAGGAAATGCAAATAACCCAGAGTCCCATACCTCCAATCTGTAGTTTTTCGTCCCCACCAGAGACTTTTTTTCTGGTTTTTCGGGTTTTTAAAAAAATCAGTTTTGAAGGAGAAAAATGCTGGAAATAATATGTGATCGCTTTGAACAGATGCAAAAAGAACCCAGAGTCCCATACCTCCAATCTGTAGTTTTTCGTCCCCACCAGAGACTTTTCTATCTTTTAAAAAGCTGAGTCCTTTTGTTTCAGTTCAAGTATGTGATCGCTTTGAACAGATGCAAAAAGGAAAGACAAGCTGCACACACACAGCACAAGCACTCATCTCTCTACAAAGCCTCCCCCTCAAGACACTTTTCCTTTTTAGCAGAGTCTCCTGGATGAGTGGAACTCCTGTTTGTTTGTTTACAGTTTAACAAGCTTGGCATGATAGTACAATGAGGAAATAGAGAGTGAAGACAGGAAAAGTCTTGTCAAGGTTGTTCCTTTGAAGTGTCTCACCTACAAGAGTTTCAAATGGAACTGCAATATCAAAGCTTATTCTGAAAAAACTGTGTGGTCACTTATATCAAACAGAATCAAAGGCTGTCTAGTCACTCCCATAGTGCTAAAATGCAGAGGGAAGAAGCCTTGTTTTACAAGTTTGCTGTATATTGTAGAAGAATGTGGCATTTCATACTATCAAGTTAAAGGTTAGAAAAAGGGCCTCTGGGTACTGCAAAACAGCTTTGGCAGCTATCAAATTCGCACTCTTGCTGTAGAAGGTGGTTTCTTGGAGTGTTGTGAACCAACAGAGGATGAGTACCTGAGAATAAGGAGCCAGGGATTCAAATTGGTGATGAAGCTCAAGCAACTGGATCAGCTCTGTAGTTTCCTTGGCTTTTTCTGCAGTCATCTTAATATATTTATCTGGATTTTCAGCAAATGTATATGCAGCCTCCTTGGAACTGAAAGCATAATATTTCTCCTTATGCTTCAGGACCCCAAGAGATGGATTTCCTAGACAAAAAACACAGAGAAAAGTCAGCACACATATAAGGTATATTCTGGCATTTTTCATACAGATTATTTTGCTCTTGAAATAATTAAGACTGTATCAAGCTATATAACATTTTGAGAACATTATGCCACACTACATTATGCTTCCCAGTCACCTCCAAAGCAATTTCTACTGATCAAGAAAAAGAAAACTAGGGACTAATTCCAATGCTAACCCTACTTAAAATACACCTACTGCAATGACTCAACTTTGTTAATTACAGCCAACATCAATCTCACAGATTTTTAAGAGTGTTCCACTGATGTTAATTAGTGGGGCATCAGTCACAATTGAGTGTACCTGGGAGAAGAAGACCATCTTTCACAGCAAAAGTATAAGCACAAAATGCATGGTACTGAATCACCAGCTGGTTAAAATTAATTGTGGTTTCTGGAAACAGCCATTCTTCTTTGGTGAAATCAGCAGGGTTTACTTTGCTATCTGAAATACAGTAACCAAAGGAAAAGTGGCAATTGTAATAAATTTAAGATCGCTAAGGAGGAGTTACAAATAATAGTACTGAAATAATCTGGTTGTACTCAGTCTGATACCCATGGTTTCTAGAGTAGGCTTGATATCCCTGGAAGTCATTGCATAAGACCTAGTAGCTATAATCCTGTTGGCAAAAAAGGAGCAATAAAAGTTTCCATAGGTGGAGCACTCTGCATTTGTCATGGCAATCTCCACTTGCAGTTGGCAGAAATTGCTCTACTAAAGATTGCAAGGATTTATGCTCTCACAAGGGGTTACTGGATTCCCTCTGGGAAACAGGAGAGAAAGAGAACTGCATACAGAATGAGTGTTCCAGCCACGATTCCTCAGCAACAGGACACTAGCCTTTAAGGAGTAAAGTAGCATAGGTCACTTTGCATTGCCTTTGCTTTAGGGGAGCTTTTGCTACCTTGAAACTAATTTCTAAATTAAGCTACAAAATGCTTCATGTGTCAGAAAATACCAACTTCACCAGAAATCCTATTAAATCCATAATACAGTACACATTTCTTCAGAAAATCAAGAGATCCAATCAATTAGTGTTTTGGTACAGTATGACTAGGAACCTGTAGACAGTAGAATCATTTCAAAAACTTCGTGGTATAGCCATTTAAAAGTTATAATTATTATTTTTAGTACCAGCATTTTCCATTAACCTTTCCTTATCAGTTTTCACAGTAACATCTTCAAGAAGAGATTCCATGCATTTCTTCAGAAAATCAAGAGATCCAATCAATTAGTGTTTTGGTACAGTATGACTAGGAACCTGTAGACAGTAGAATCATTTCAAAAACTTCGTGGTATAGCCATTTAAAAGTTATAATTATTATTTTTAGTACCAGCATTTTCCATTAACCTTTCCTTATCAGTTTTCACAGTAACATCTTCAAGAAGAGATTCCATCACATCTTCTGGAAAGATGAGTGCATGTGATCCCAAAAATTGCTGGAGACTGATTGTCAAGTTATTGAGAAAACTAAGCACTAGTATCTCATCTTGAAAACTGGTCCAAAGGTTGGAAAGTGCAATAAATATAGGCTACAAAAAAGAGACAGGGATAAAAGTTACATTTTCATTATGTCTGCAAAACAGTACTGCCTGCTTCTCAAAAATATACCAGGGTTTCTGTGTACTGTCTACAGTGAGCAGATAATACAGAAAAAGGTGTTAATACATGGTTCTTTATAAATAAATAATTTTTACAAGGTACTTTTGGAAGCAATGTTTACACTTTAATGGAGATTACCTCTGCTCAATTTAACACATACGTATACTGAAATTAACAATGCTGTTTTCTAGCATAACACAGCACTAGATATACATAGTTCTTTAATCAATAGGCAAAGTGAACTTAAATGCTGTTTAGTTAACAACAAACTTTTTTCTATCAAATGACGGAGTTTCAGAGCTTGATTTTTAGCACCTTTATGTAAATGTTTTGGGACAACCAAAATAGCTGGTGATAGCTGGATAGCCATGTTAAGGCTCCTCAACTCTAACCCTGATCTTAGTGAACTTTTAAAAGCTGAATGGATCTGCTCAGGAAAAGTTAATCCCCACACCCAATACCTAAGTGTTTCTACCAACCTAGATAACCCCCCAAGTTGCTCCATGCTTGACCAACAAATTATGTGTTACCCCACAGAGACCCATATATTTGTTCTTCATGGTAAGGAGAGGATCCTGAGGATAATTCAAACTGGGCAAAGAAGGCAACGGTAAAGAAAATAGGCCTAAATATTGTGTGAACAGTGTAACAATTGCACACTATCTCAAGATCAGGATGTTGGAGAAGACATCCTGAAAGTGTTACAGGTAGGGAATGGAACGTGGTTAATTAATCTTGGCTGATACAGCCAAAACCAATTAAAAGCTGCCTGCTGATTGGTGCAGTCTTACAACTGCAAATCACGGGATGATAGTTAGTTAGCATAGCTTCACCCTCCATCTTGGATCAGCATCATGACTTAACAAGCTCATGCTATGCTTACACTACCTGCTATAAAGAACTCTGCACATGCCTGTGAATATCATGGTAAGGAAAATAGGCCTAAATATTGTTTGAACAGTGTAACAATTGCACACTATCTCAAGATCAGGATGTTGGAGAAGACATCCTGAAAGTGTTACAGGTAGGGAATGGAACATGGTTAATTAATCTTGGCTGGTACGGCCAAAACCAATTAAAAGCTGCCTGTTGATTGGTGCAGTCTTACAACTACAAATCACAGGATGACAGTTAGCATAGCTTCACCCTCCATCTTGGATCAGCATCATGACTTAACAAGCTCATGCTATGCTTACACTACCTGCTATGAAGAACTCTGCACATGCCTGTGAATATAGCTTAGACAGATTGTTCTCATTATTTTCTGTGGGGATAGCTTTATCATGCCTTGAGCTCTATAAGATCTGCTTATGCTACCAAAAGATGCTTTTTGTATTCACTGCTGAAATAATGGCACTTTTTGTCTTATGCTTTACTTGTACTTTTTAATCAAATCTAAAATTTTACTCAAGTTGTGGTTTATTCGGAGGATGTGTTGAAGGTACTTTTCCAGTGTCTGAGAATGCTTGGAGATATTGAGACATTTTGGGTTACATGAAGTTCTGTGCAAAGCTGGTTTGCAATTATTTTCCCTGAGCACCCAAAAGTGAGGAACTCAGAATGTGCTTGGGAAAGGCACGGACCTCAGAAGGCATAGCCCAACCATCAGTGCACTGACCTTCTGGGCATGACCCATCTAAGCAGAGAAGGTAGAGAGACTGAATGGTGAGAGGAAGCCCTCTGTGCAACCCGTGGGTAAACAAGATTCCCTCACAGGCTACTACTACCCAAGCAGATTTTTTTTCCCCTTGGAACATCTGACGTCAAAGATACAGTGCCTGCAGTTACGGACGAACTGGCTCACCAAATCCCCACTAATTCAATGGGCCCACTCTAGTTGCAACTACAGTGGTGCCTCGCTTAACGAGCGCCTCGCTGAGCGATGAAATCGCTTAACGAGGCGCTCTGGGCCATCGCTGGAGCATTCGCTCAGCGATGGCCCCTATGGCGATTTTTCGCTTTGCGATATTCGCTAAGCGATTCACTTAGCGAATATCGCATAACGAAGCCGGGGAGAACAGCTGATCGGCGGTCCTCACAGGCTACTACTACCCAAGCAGAATTTTTTCCCCTTGGAACATTTGACGTCAAAGATATAGTGCCTGCAGTTATGGACGAACTGGCTCACCAAATCCCCACTAATTCAATGGGCCCACTCTAGTTGCAACTAATTATTGGATTTCAGCCATTGTTCAACTGTAGTTGATGTTTCTCTCCATTCCAAAAAACACAGGAGAACTACTGTTGAAGACAAGCAACTCCAAATCCTATGGACTAAAAGAATAGGCCCAAAGCGCTCTCTCTTCCACAGGATATCATAGCATCATAGAATTATAGCGCTGGTCGGGATTCTAAGACTCTTGAGTCCAGCCCCTGCTAGGACAGCGCAAGTCTGGATTGCTAACTCCGCTTGGTGTGTCTATGAGAAGACAGCAGCAAAATACACCCTAGACTTTTTATAAAGAAAGATTTACAGCTCAACTTAAGAATCTCATTGCAATTAAGGAACTTACATAAACCAGAGATGTAGGCACAGCCGTCTTTTCTCTAACAACATTCTTCAGTTCTTCCATCTGTGCTTCAAACTGCTTCCGCATCATATCAACTTCTTGTGCACAGGAGATCACATCAGACTGAAAAAGGTAGCAGACACCAGGTAGTAATTTTAAATTCAGAATCAATTATAATTATTAGCTAGAGCAATTCAATTACTGTACTTATTTTTTAAAAAAATCACTTTTTGAACTGGACTGTTCCATTGTCTGTGAATTGTTGTGCCAATCAAGCATTTTAATGTCATAAAAGCTAGCCATAAGACCTGCTGTCTCCAGTACTGCAAGGCAGTGATCTTTCCAGGGCAGAAGTTGTCTGCCATCAAAGGAAGCCTTTAATCAGTAGCAATTTGCTGCTGCCACCACCATTACAGCCGCTATTCTCACTGTGCAAGCAGAGCTGCCCATAAGGATTTCAGCCACAGATTTTGTCACTCTTTGACATGATTCAAGCCTCACATTCTCTGGATAACAGGAAAAATACCAGTATCATTAATGCACAATTAGATACAAATAGGGGAACAAATAACTCATCTGGATGGGCCCCAATGAGTTTTATAGCACTTTGAAGACACACATTGTTGTGGAACGCAACTCACTTTTTCAAATGCTTCCAAAGAAGTAGATTGCTGTCCACTAAAGCATATGTCAAAGAGAATTCCCAGTTACAGTCCCCTCTGTGTTGAAAAAATATATTGAATTAAAAATAACTTGATGGCAAAAATTCTGTTGCATAGTTAGGCTGGCAGAAAGATAATGACATAAGTCATTGTGGCCAATCACCACTGATTAACAAGTCCCTGCTTGGATTCCAGCCATGCACTAAGCCACCAAATGGCATACAATGAGGAATCCAAGCAGGGACTCGTTAATTAGTGGCAATTTGCTACTGCAAGTTACATGATTGCCCTTCAGCCAGTATAACTTCAAAGGAAATTAGAAGCCTATGTGCTTCTGTATTAGATAAAAGCTGATTAACACACTGAATCTTGCTGCTACCATCCTCCTCTGGCGTGGAGAGAAACACAACTGTAAGAAAGCATTACAGTCACAATTCATGCACACACTAGAAAAACAGAGGAATCAATATAGAATATAATCTCACCAGAATAATGCAGAGAAAAGCCTCATGTTGTCTCACATTGTATAGGACTTCTCTCAACATGGTCACCCTAAGTTCCAGGTCAGCATTTTGACTCTCATGCATCGTTTCAATCAAGGCTGTATACTGGTATGCTAGCTGCTGAGAAGCATGTAGTTCTATATCAATATGATGGCTGGCTGCTGGGATAGCTTCATTCAGAATAGCTGGCACTTTTGATGTAGAATTGATTTGAAACATAGAGAGGCAATGTGAGAATTCTAACTAAAATGCATCAGTATCAATTTCAGTAAAAAAACTTATTATTATTTCCATATGCATTTGTCTAAATTATCATGACTCAGATCCAAACAGTAGTATGTAAACATCTTTATTTACACCAGGATTTCTGAGAGGCCTTCTTCTCCAGAAGCCTTTATTCATTTTAAAAGTTGTTAAAAGTCCGAAGCCACATCCGATACAGCATGAAGTGCTCCAGCTAATGGTGAAATCAAATATCCTCTGCACAAGAGCAGACAAGTTTTAAGCACACACATATCCCTCATCAGAACTAGGTTTAGGTGCATTTGTAATTTAAAAGGCTTGTTTTTAGTCAGCTAGCTCTATTTTAATAAGCTAATTTATAATGTCCAAGATAAATGAACAAAATACTGAATCTGTAGGCAAACAGGGCCAATGTTTGAAAACATCAACGTATGTAGAATATTCATATCAAGACATCCATACGAACTGCTTATAAAATTGTGACCAATGATGAATTTTGCAAAGTGGTTCAAATATGTTACACAAATGTACCTTTAGGTTTAGCATTAAGTTCATATATACCTACAATCATCAATGCCATCTCCTCCTTTCCCACAGTCCTTGTTAAATAATCGAATTCCTGTGACAATCATGGTGAGTTCTTTCAGCTGCCGCTCTTTCTCCTTTTTACTGAGAGACAGGAAAGCAGCAAGTTCTGTCTGAGGAAACACACTCTGAAGGGCAGCTGGAAAATATTAAAGGCAAATACTGTACATACTGTCACACTAGAAAAAGAAGAAACACAGATAACTGTCAGTAAATCTACCCAAGAGATTAATTCTAAAGGTTCTAAAACAAGTTGTGTATATTCTGCTGTGTCTAATGCAGTAAGATGTTTATCCATATATGAGGTCCTGCCTCACTTTACTATAATGGCTTGGATCCTGGCAATTATGGATTTTCTGCCTCCTCTCTACTTTAGTTCTCCCCAAATAAACCCGCTAAATATTTTTCCTTACTAAGAACTATGAATATTTGAATTATACATATTTATTAACTCATCAACTATCACCAGAAGCAAAATAATGCTGCAGCAATTCCAGCTGCAGCACTGAGATAGAGATGGGAAGAGAGATGGGTCCTTCCACTATCTCTGCTGAGGGACCAGCTTCACTGGGCTCCCCTCTCCCAGAATATTCCCATCCCAGCTGGTCCTTTGAGAAACTGAAGAACTGGTGTCCACATTTTCTCCCTTCCCCATCAATTTTTCATTTGGCTTCATGTTTTTTAGATGAGAAGCCCAAGGACAACACTGCACTTTCCTTACCAAGTTGAACACTACCTATACTGAACACTAAAGTTAAGTACTCCAGAATTCTTTATTGGGCAAAGATAGTATAAAATTTGGGGTAAACGCAAACAGTTAAATAATTGGGCCAGAAATGATGCCCTTGGCTGAGGAAATGAAACTGCCAACAAAACAAAATGGAGTTTAGATTTCCTATGAGATAGAGATGATGTTTACTTTTATTATCTGAAGATTTCTCTAGGGAGTGCTTAAGCTCTAGAATTGTTTGCAAAGGCCCTTTTTAAGTTTATTAAAGAACATGTTTCTGTGAAGAAAAATGAAGTGTGCGTACAGAGACTAGTACAATGGGTCAGTGATGGGCATGCGTAGCCACCAGGATCTTTGGGAGATGTCACACCTAGAGTAAATGGTGCTAAGAAAGCGGTTCAGCTTCACCACAACCTTCCAATCTGAACAGCTGCCAAGTGCCACTTGCGCTATTGTTGTTGCCTCATGAAAGCAACTCCCTTGTCGTAGTGTAAGCAACTGAAGAGATTAGACAGTTGCTTGCCTTTGAACTCCTGGATATGCAGAATGTTTTTAGCTCTCCTTTTCCATTCAAAGCCTGTTTTTCTGATTTGTAATAGCATTTTTATATATTTGTGTGCACCATATGATTTTCTACTCTAGATTTTTTAGAACTGTTGTGAACTTCCTTGTGGCCATCATACTGAGCCAGAAAGACAAACAGAAATGATGTTAATCTAAAACCAAATTAATTGAATTAAAAAAAAACACTCCACAAGTTGCCACCAGCTGTTGATGTATGCCTAGTATGAAACTACCATATTAGGAGGGTTGCTAGCAAATGGCATCATTGGGTATTTGAATATTATACAAACCAGTTGCCTCTCTAATGACTTTAATATCTGTTGGGGATCCAAGGCCAGACCGCAGCAACACATAGCTGACAATCTTTCGATAAACACTCTCCATTTCTTCTCGAGTACGAGCACGATTATCTGTAATTTCTCTGCTTACAGGAGCAAGCCTGGATTCCAGAACCCGATGTTGTTCATTAATTAATTCAACTAAAAGGAAACAGAGAGAATAATATGGAAGTTCTCAATGCCACTGGTGTAACCAGTATGTTCCAGCAGACCCCAGAGACAGATTTTCCCTGAGAAGAGCAGATCTCCCTGAACTGAACCCTCTCTAGAGGTCCACATGAGTCCTCATTGAAAATGTGAATACATTTCAATGGATTTTCAGTGTAATTCATTTTAAATTCTGTATCTTAGATACTCAAATCCTACTGTGTTCTACTTATTATAATGTATCAGGTTGCAATCCCAGTGAATATTTCCAGTAAATATTGTGAGGATTAAATTTTATGAAAAATATTTATGACTGCACTGGAAAATTAGCAGTAGCAATAAGGTTTAGCAATGAAATGTATATTTGCCTGTTGATGCATGATGAAAGTATTTTCTTAAAACCCCCAGATCTAGCCAAGGTTTCAGAAATGCAGTAGAAGATGGACAAATTTTAAATATTTTTGTTCTGAAGTGGCAATTCTATTTCCAATCATCTTCTTAAAGCTTGCTAGTCTTCCTGTTTTATATAATTATCTTACTTTGCTATTCCACACCACATCAGTAGTGCCATAAACATTCACACAGAACAAGAACAAATGTATACTGTGGTTTCATCCAATGCATGTTTACAGCTGAACATTCACACAGAACAAGAACAAATGTATACTGTGGTTTCATCCAATGCATGTTTACAGCTGAACATATCTAAGTAATGCACAGAAATGCACTGCCAGTGTATCACATATTTACAGAAAATAATTCCACATATTGATTACCTCGGCTTGTGTAGTTCATATCAAAGTAAACTTGCATCTTAATAGTGTCCAGAGATGGATTTCTAGTGTCAAGAAGTTTGTCAACTGAAAGCTAAAGAGAAACTCTTGATGTTAGCTCTTGCAAGGCACTTAGAAAATGATCAAAATAACATTAGTTTTGGATGCACAGATACAGTATTAATTTCCATATCCAATCATTTACATGTAGAAAATAACCAATCACTAATTTTGAAAACAAGGTATTTTTTAAGCTTAAAAAGCCAATCAAGCACCTGAGAAGCAATGTTTTGAATATGATACGATGTGTTGGTATAATGTAGTTTTACAGTTAATCTTATGAGAAAATATCCTTAAAACGTTTCTCAGATGCCATTTTACTCCGGTAAGATTGGCAAAAATATCAGAACAGATCAGTAATGTTTATTGGAAATGTAAACAAATCCAAGGGCTTATTATCATGTATAGTGGTCACGTGAAAAAGCAAAAAAAAAATGGTTACAGGTTTGGGAAATGTCACAAGAGATTGTTCAGCAAAAATTAAGTTTTAAACCTGAAATGTTATTATTGAATATAATACCAGAAATTATTGATAAGTAATCAATATACAGTGGCGCCTTGCAGGACAAAAAAGTCGCAAGGCAAATGGTTTTAGCAATGGGATTGATGCCTCGCAAGACAAATGTTCCTACGGCTGTGCTTCGCAAGACAAATGTTTTCTGTTTTTTGTTCCTGCCTCATGTTTGCTGATTTTTAAATGTTTTTCTATGATGTTTAAAAAATTAAAGTTTTTTGACTGAAATTTTTTAAATCATCTGCACAATATGTATGGCTTTAAAGAGCACTTAATAAACCCTTTGTAAACCAAATTTGACTTTGTTCTGACTTTTTTTACCCATAGGAACACATTAATTAGATTTCAATGCATTCCTATGGGAAAACGCATTTCGCAAGATGAATTTTTTGCAACACAACATTAACCACGGAACGAATTAAATTTGTCTTGTGAGGCACCACTGTAGTCTACTGTATATATTTACTGCAGCTAGGTTACTCTGGGCCAAAAAATAGAAGAATGGAGAAACACCAACAATGGATAAGCTATTAAAGAAGCTATTAGACATTTCTGAACTAGATACTGTATGCTTTCAGAGGCATCAACCGAGACACTTTGTAAAGGAAAGATGGAAGCTGATATATAACTGGGCCCAGGAAAATACAAGAATTTAGGGGAAGAATTAGTTTATGGTGAATCAGTGCTCACTAGAATCCTTTGATGATACTCAACGCACAGAATCGTAACAAATTCCACAAGAAAGAATTACCTTAATAAGTTTTTGTACATCAGCCTTTGTAAGAGTCCTATCCACATTAAATCCATTCCTTGGATCCAGTACAACAGCTTTCACCTAAAAGGCAATATAAGATGTTTCTCATTCCTATTTGATTTACTCTTCTTAAACAGATCACACTTTCAAATGTAACTGCTTAATTATACAAATGTCACTATACAACTCAAATTGGGAAGAATGAAGACTGATCTCAGCAAATACACTTACATGGTTATTTCACTTAACTTAATCGGCTTTAAAATCCTTATACATATTTTATATTTCTGTTGTAAACTGCTAAGTCAAGAGTTCCCAACTGTTTTGGGACCAGTCAACGCCAGTCCAACCATTAGCCAAACTAAGGCAGTCACTTTAGGCAGTAGAGTATCAGGATAACAGAAGATAAGCCACCACTACTGACTCCTTGCTGCCTGAGTTACCCACCAACAACATAACTAATCTCTTTCTCCCTGCTGCTGCTACCCACCTGCACACCCTGTCTGCTCCTCAGATAGCTTTATGGAAAATGTCAAGGCATTACAGGAAAAAAATTCCCATCTGCACATAGGTGATGGGGGAGGGGATACCTGCCAGAGTTTGATCCCTTGTCTGTTTAAGAGTGTTAAAACATTATAGGGAATATAGAAATTGCCATAAAACTGTCTTAAAAGTATAACCCTGTGACATGAAAACATGTTTATGACCATTGGCTTTAGCAAAGTTAGGTCACTAAGATTGTAACAGCTCTTTGGCAACTACCTATTTTGTTTTGCTTTCCGATGTATAGACATGATATATAATGAATAGCAACACCAGAAAATCAACAATGAGATTTCCTCCTTAGGCTAAATGAGATTTAGAAATATTTTCTGCATGTCTAAACATGCTTAGAGCTAAATAATACCTTTTTTTTACTTTATATATTTTTACTTTTAAAAGTTTAAATACATTTCCATACCTTACACTGCTTTTGGATGCTTATAGTTTTACTCTTATGCATTTTGATGTATTCTGGAGATGTATTCTCTGCCTTTATAAACTCCTATATTTTTAAGAATGTAACATAAACCTTCTTTCTGCTATTTGTTTGGATTTTGTTGCTATATTTTAAAGTATTTGCTTACAACTCAAGTTTTAGTTGTTGCCTCTTTTTTTAAGTTGCATGCATGGATTTTAAACAATCTACCTACAGTTCTTATAATTATAAGATGTCTGGAAGTTATTACAACCTTGAAGTAATTTTGTATTATTGGAACCTAGAAGCAATGTACAGTGGTGCCCCGCATAGCGACATTAATCCGTTTCAGGATTAACGTTGCTATCCGGATTCGTCGCTATGCGGGGGGGAAAACCCCATAGGAATGCATTAAACTCTGTTCAAAGCATTCCTATTGGGGAAAAACTCACCATTATGCGGCGAATCCTCCATCTGGCCACCATTTTCGCCGCCCGGTAAGTGAGGGCAGGGTGCGAAAACGCTGCAGGCAGGTATTTTGTTGACCCAGTGGCCATTTTGGAACCGCCGATCAGCTGTTCCCAAAACATCACAATGCGATGTTTTGCCTATTAAAACATCGCAATGTGATCGCATTAGCGATCGCAAAAAACGCGTCGCTATGCGGATTCGGTGTTAAACGGTGCGCTCGTTAAGTGAGGCACCACTGTAAAGCTTACAAAATTAAGAAATTCATAGTTGCCTGAAATCCTTGCAACAAAGAAAATAATTGTACTTAAGATACAATTTTGAAATGCTTGTCTATGATTGTCCGATTTCATTCTGGAATTAACCCTTTATTGGGATAATCACAGATTCATAGAATAATGAAGTTGGAAGGGGCCTATAAGGCCATCAAATCTATCCCGCTGCTCAATGCAGGGATACAAATCAAAGCATATCTGTCATGTGGTTGTCTAAATTTCTTTTGAATGCCTCCAGTGTTGCAGCACTCAGCACCTCTTGGGGTAAATGATTTCATTGCCGTACTCCTTTAACTGTTAGAAAGTTGTTCCTGATAACCAACCAAAATCTGGCTTCCTGTAACTTGAACCCATTTTCACATATTAAAAACAAATAATATAAAAACTGGAAGGTGAGGGGGAAAACAAAAAAAACAAACAGCAGAAGAAAATGAAACAAACTAAATGGCGCCCCAAATCTTGAGAAAAAGCATACCTGAAAAATCTTTGCCTGCTTACAGAAGGACCGCAAAATATGCAAAAAACCCAAATATCAGTACCTAAACTGGGTGCCGTCTCTGTTCATATCCTCTGTTCAAATAGCATGTTCAAACATGCATGCTATTTGCTGTTATTGCCCACCCATCACTATTTTACTTTAACACTATACAATCTATTTGGATGCAATTGGTGCATATTGTACAGGGCGGTGCAGCAGGTGGAAGGGAGTTCAATTCTTCACTGTGCCTCCCAGAAGAGCCACTTCATGTGGCCTTGCATAGGCCTCATGGTCCCAGAGTGCCCAAGGAGAGATTGCTAAAGCACTTCTAAATATTTAATAATTAGAAATCTCCAGGGAGGGTCATTGTAAGTTGGAATCAACTTGATCACATATAATTCATGTAATCATTTTTATGCCACTGCTATGATATAACTTGGTGAGAAGAGTATTTAAAGTCAGTGCACTGATAGAATATCCATATTGCATTTACCATGAATGCCACCAGAGTTTCTGATGCAGTTTGTCCTTTCATTGCACATTCTTGTCCAATTTCACGGATGATGTTCCTTATCACATTTTCAGCTTGAGAGTGAGCCATTCTACACCGAGGAAAAATTAAAAACAGACATTTATTAGAAATGTTGTCATATTCTCTATAGTAGTTTTTACTGACAGTATTCTGATTGGGTAGTCAGTCCTTAACCTTTCAATCTTTCAATACAGCCTGGCCAGGAGGCAGAAATATTTGACAGTTGATAAGGTGGCTGGTGTCAAAAGATTTTCCATATACTGTAGCTTTTGTTTCATGAGTGACATATAACTTATTAAGTGAACAATACTATAGCTCAGTGCTGTAGCAATATAAGGGAAGGGTTATAGTAGGCCAGTAGCAGAAGACCTGCATTCCAGAGAGAAGATATGACTGTCAATCAATGTAGGCTACCATTTTTTCAATCAAATATGATGGGGGTTGGAGTAAAAAAATCTAAAGGTCACCAATTTGGACAAAGCAGATATAGAACAATCCTTCTCAACCTTTGACTTGTCAGATATTTTGGACTTCTGATCCTAAAGTCCCTAACCACTGACCATGCTAGCAGGGGCTTCTGGAAGCTGGCAGACCAAAATGTTTGGAGGTCCAAAGGCTAAGAGCCATTGGAGTAGACAACACTGAACTAGATGGAGTAATAGTGTGACTCCATAAAAAGGAAGCTGCTTATGTTCCGTATGTTTGCTTCTGTGAATTCCTAGATCAAATGCAAAGGGTCTGTTATTGCACCATAGTATTTCAAGTCAAGCTAGCCAGATAGCTTGGTATCCAGCTGCAGAGCCAGAGGTTAAGAGTTCAATTCCCCACAGTGCCTCCTGCGAGTAGATCCAGCCTATGTGGCCTTGGCCAAGCCGCACAGTTCCAGGGTGCCCTCAGGGAGTAAACTATTTCCGAATTCTCTGTACCTAGAAAACCCTGAAAAGGGTCACCATAAGTCAGAATTTATTTGACAGTACATCATTATATTATTTCAAGTGATGTTGGTAAAGGATAGAGTGAATGAAGCAATCTCCACTGGTGTTGGTATCCTGACAGTTACTTCTTGTCCTCCACATAAGTGGTTTTCTTCAGTATTCAAGCACTGCTAAACGTTAATCAGAATTCATTAATTCATTCAAATTTACTAATATTCTTTTCAGCTGGGACGCTCCTAACTACCAATACATAAACATCTATGATAGCAACACGTGCAGCCATTTTACTTAAAGAATATATGCATATCCTACCGCAATGGTATTCGAACAGCAATTATTAGAATGAAACAAAAAAGACTGCAGTCACAAATACTGTATACTGATTGATTCAGACCACCAGAAAAATATTGAACCAATGTAAAAACTCACTCTATGGAACTTGTAAATTTATGGAAGGAGGCTTGCTATAACTTTTGTTAATACAATAAAGATAAATAGTTTCTTTTCCATTTTCCTAGGTTCTGAAAGGCTACATACAAGAGTCCATAGAAGAATACAATACAGTACATACAACTAACAATCAGACTCATTCAGGTTGAAATGCAGGGAGTTTGAGCTGTTCTCTGTGGTTTGAATCTGTCCTGCCACTAATGGAAACTGGTAAAAGGATATATGGACCATTAACTTCTTTATGTGAAACATTGCTATTAACTTGTGCAAGTTCATCAATAATGCTGGTGGCAGCGCATCTCTTCAAACTGATCCTGCAAGTGCAGAGGTGGTCAAATGCAGTCCTCTAGAAATTCTTGGAGGGCAACTCCCAAATTATTTATTTATTTGTTTAACTTGTATGCCGCTCACACTACCCTAAGGTCTCTTAAATTACATCTTAAAGCACCTACACCGTTAGAGCTGTCCACCCCCCTTGCAGAAATTATTAGTACTCCCTCCCGGCTGCCTTTCTATGACTACCTTTTGATTACGGAAGCGCTCTCCGACCCACTTTAATAAGCAAGGGCAGTGAGTGCGTAAGTACTGTACAACGGCAAACATCGTGGCATCCCACCTCCGTCCTCAGAACTGAGGAAGCGCCTCCAAGGTCCCTCTGGGGTGGGATCCTGTTGCCCGAGAGTGGGGGTGCGGGGGCAGAAACTCTGCCGGGGTTGAAGTCGCCAGCACAGCCGTGTAGCCATGGTGGCGACTTCCAGCCTACGGTTCCCGCCGGGCACCCACTCGGGAAAAACCCAGGACCGCTGCGCCATGCTACGCAGGGGGCTTGGCTGGAAGATGGCCGCCCTGCTGGGTTCTCCGAGGGCCGAGTCCAGGAATCCAGAGGGAAGGGGGGTGTCTCCTTGACGTCGCTCACCTGCCACCAGCACACCTCTTCCCTTACCCACCAGCCCACCGCCCTTCCTCTGGTCCAAAACCAAACGACTTTCCCTCAGAGGCGACTCCACATTTATCTCTTCTTCTTCAGTGCTCCTTCTCCGCCACTCCCGCACCCGCCATTTTCCGGTCGAGGCCCACCCTGGTTCCTGACAGGGGAGCCACGCTCGCTTCTTGGGGGCAGAGCTGCGTTTCCACGGCGACGGTAGCCGCCGTTGCTCTCGCGAGGGAGGCGGCCCTCCCGGAGGGCGGGGCGGGGCGGGGCAGGGCAGGGCTGGACGCTCCGAGCGGGGGTGACCTTCTTCCCTCCGAGCTGGGAACGCCACCAGATGGTTCTTCGGAATCGGCGGACACGCGTCGGCTAAGGAGTGCACGCTGGCTTTCAGTCGGGTCCTGCCGTTGCTTTTGGCATGAACACCTGCCTCTACCGTTTTAGGCATACCTCCAAGGAAAACGCTGGGGTTATTGATATCGCTGTGCATTGTCGTGCACTTCCGAAAAGCTCTAAACACTTTTAAGTAATTCATTTTTTTAAAGCTGTAAGAGTGGCAAGGGGCAGTTATCCTATATCATTTCCTGTTAAAAACTATACAGTACATTGCCCCAAGACTGCGAGTCTAATTGCGCCTCACTGATACGTTTCTCTTATACTTGCATGGTCAAATGGAGTGAGGATGATATTTTCAAATGCATTCTAAAATGGTGTTGGGGGAAATTAACATACGAAGAGCGTTTGTACTCTGATAAATGCACATTTATAAAGTAGTGAGGAAAGATGGCTTTATTCCTCCGACAGACAAACACACACTGGGAGCACTCAGTAGCATATCTGGATGTTGGCAACAAATTAGACAGATGCACTGATAGCTTTCCTAATTGACAGTGTGCTATTCAACTTCAGAGTCTGTGAATGCAGTAATTTTTCTGAACGGCAAGATGAAATCTGCTTGCCCTGGGGCAAGCTGGGGAAATGTGAGATTTATGTATTTCTGAAAGGTTTCTCTTGTTTCTAATATCTCAGCTTCCAGGCTGTCTTTCCAGGCTGTCATGTATTCCAGTTGCTGGCTGAGAGATAGGAGCTGACTTTCTTTCCGGTTCACCGTATTTGCCACTTCTTCCAGCTGAGCCTCGCGAACATTGTCTGCTTCTCTGAGCAGCTTCTCTGCTTCTTCCTTAAACTCCTTTTGGGAGACCGCAAGAGCCATTTCCATTTCATGTTTTTTTTCCCAAGTTAACCGTTCCAGGTTTCTCTGATAAATTTCATTAGCAATCGCACTAGCTTGCTCAATTTGCTCCAAATACTTCCTGCAAAAGTGAGATCATAAAATGTATTTAACATGATTTTCATTATTAGTGACTGTAAAGTTATTTCAGTGCCAGTTGCATCTTGTTAAAATAAAACACCACTTTACAATCAGGTTATGAAAACTAGTACCCTACAGAAATGTTAGGCTGCAGTGCTGAGCACACATACTGTATATTGGAGTTAGCATCACTGAACATAGCAAGTCTGACTTATAAGTTAATTAGCACAGGATTGTCCTGAAGTATACACCTCCTCCCTAAGATAATAACAGGAAGGAAAACTTGAGAGAAGAAATAGAAAGTAAAAATGCAATTGCTTTCAGATGATCTCTATTAGAGATGTGCACAACCCAAACTACAAACCATAAAAACCCCACAAATCGGGTTGGTTCGTGGTTCAGTTCATGCAAGCCATTTTACTGAAACAAAACAAAGATCTGAACTTTTTTTCCCATCTGGTGCTTTGTTCTGCTTTAGCAAAATGGATGTCCCTGCCTCCTTCCCTCTGCCCCGCCTCTTTCTCACTGTCCCCATGTCATCTCCCTACCTGTTCCTGCTGCCTCTTCCTCCATGGCCACCATTTTCAAAGATAGCGGTCTGGCTTCAACTGATAGGTGTGCACATTGTGATTTGAAATTAGACTTTCCAAAGAATCCATAAATACATGGATACATAAATACATGTATTACTAGTCTAATAAAAGACTCAAAACTAGCTTCTCTCTTAAAATTTAGAGGTCTAATATAAGTACCGGCCACCTTTGTATTCAAATTGTGTATAAGGACTACACAGGTTTTTTTCTTGTTTTTTTTGATAAATGTTGTAAAAGGCTACTGTTGCCTTTGTTTAAAAATATCATGAAAGTGTTTAGAACATTACAAAACATCCCTGCAAAATTTGTTTAGCAGAAGCAGAAAATGGAATGCCCGCTATAAAAAGAAGGGAGCCAGCTACTTTCAGCTCTGGAAAAATTAACTAGCATTGTCTGTGTTTAACCCAGTGGTTCTTAACCTTGGGTTACTCAAGTGCTTTTGGACTGCAACTCCCAGAAGCCTTCAGCACCAACTGTGCTGGCTGGGGTTTCTGGGAGTTGCAGTTCAAAAACACCTGAGTAACCCAAGGTTAAGAACCACTGGTTTAACCTTCTCGTGTTTCCAATGGAGGGCACCCAGTACTAATAAGCAAACAACACTGTACAGCTATTCTGCCTTTCTTGCTTCAGCACATTTTTTCTGATAAGAGAAATACAGAAACAGCAGTTGGAAAACATGGGAAGATTACAAATGGAAGATCAAGTCATCTGGGTCTTAAGTGACTCCAAAGGGACAGCTTCTCATGCTAGCATTTAGAAGCTGCTATGTACCATCCATTATTTTAATGTCTCTTCTGAGGGAAAGAAAAAGACAGAAGATGCAGCAGAAAAAGCAGGGAAAGATTATGAGTGGAGGATGATGGTGTCCACAGTTCCCTGTAGTATATAGAGAATGATCTAGGGTGGTGACATGATAAAAGTCTCAGCTGGAATTGTTCTCCCTCTAAAGTACTGTGAATGAGGCTGGGAGACATAACAGGAAAAACCTTTGCTGAAAGCAACTTTGAGTAATAGAAATTTCTAAGGCCAGTGGTGCGTGATTGTAACCTTTCTAGCATCACAATACTTCAATGTACTAAACAGTAATACAGAAACTATGAATTATACCATGTTATCCAATCTTCTCTGTAAGTCAGCCATGTGCCCTTATTCCATCTCTAATGGTAAATGACTACATTTAGACTTCCAGTGTGGGCACACTTAATTTTCATTGTACATGATCCAGATGTCTGCTTCCACTTGCACAACTCCTTGTGCAATTTCTTGCAAAAAGTTCTGCACAACATCTAAACATGCATGTCAGCAAAACATCTAGTGCAACAGTTTGCACATGAACTCTAGCACAATGGTACACTGCAAGGGGAACAGGAAATGAAATACAGATTATGGACTTTTCTGCCTGCCTGGAATTGCAAGAGAATCTGAACATTCACACCTGGGAAGACAGCTGGTTCGCACCTCTATCCCAATCTCCTGTTCCCATGTCTCCTGTCTCTGTGTTACTTCAAAGGAGACCTGAGATCAAGAAGACCTTAAAGAGGAGCCTAATACTCAAACTCCATCTTTCGTTTATTTCTTTTGTACATGAAAGTCACCAAATGGTTGTATCTAACAGTGAGGAAGTTGGTGTGCTGTCTCACCCAGAGGGTATACAGATTTCAAAGCTGGGAAGGAAGCATGTAAGAATGAAAAAAGAGGATTAAGAGTAATTAAGTAATGGTCAGCTCATGGGACGTTCAAGGGTATAAAGGGGAAATTAGAATTTGAACCCTTTGAGACTTAGCACAGCTTAGGGAAGCCTCACTCATTTCCTGGCAATAGAATTACTCACAAGGAGACCTTTGTGTACTATGTAAGAACGGGTGCCCAGGGAACACAGGGAGAGTCCTGCAGTTTTACTCCATCACTCTATGAGGCAGTTTTACTCTGTCACTCTATGAGGTAGATAGGATAGTGCTTATTATTTTCTGGTTTCTGTTTGGTATCCTGTAATACTGTATCCACAGTTGTTTTAGATATGGAACTGTTTCTGTAATTTTTTTTAATTGTCCTTTTATTTTCTTACTTTTCCCTTTCTTTTTAAATAAACTTTACAAATCCTTTTAAACCACTGTCTAGGCAGAGATGGGGAGGAGAAATGTAGTACTGTACTAATTTCCAGTCCTTGCCTTTCTTAAGCTATAGAACTGGTAATACTGAAATTTATGGGAGCTGGTGGCAACCTATCAAAATTATGTGTTTAATCAATTGAGCATGCAGCCCCATAGGCGGAAGTCATGTTGGTGTTGGAAGAGTCCCCAACAGAACTCACAGCACTCATCCTTCGTGTTCCCGCTGGACATTCCTACCGAGAGCAAGGGAAAGGTAGTGTGACAGAGTGGCTATAGTGAGGAGTGAGGCCCAGGGATTGTGAGACACACTGAGCAAAATCCTGGCACATAGTTATGCCAGCAGAAGAGAAGAAGTATAGCTTTTGTATAAAAGTATAGTATTTGCCATGCCTTTGGCAATGCCTTCTAGTAGCACTTCTGCAAGAGGTGAAGGAACAACACCACTGCCAGAATTTGCTCCACTTCAGAACTTCTGGATATCATGTAATGTCAAGTGCAATTCTTTTGTCAATTTATCTTTTAAATTAGAATTAGATAATTTAATCCTGTACTTTTTTTGTGCATCAAGGATTCCAGTTATCTTTCCTTGCTCCTCCCGTCTCATTTCAGCTATAGCTGCTGTCTTTTCCAGCTGAAACTGAAGTATGAGCCGATGAAGTTTGTGAGTCATCCGTTGCTCAGCAGCTTCTGATTCTCTCTTTAGTTCTGCTTCCAAATGCTGCAGCATTTCTAGCTGTGTCTTCTTTACAGCTTCCTTTAGCAATACAAACAATATACTGTATTAGAATACCAGAGCAAGACTTGATTGCTTCTCCCTTGTGGCTACAAAGAATATTTGAATGCCAATAGCAAATGGAATTCCTTCCTATCTATCCCCTACCTAACCACATACTGTATGGAGATACCATGTCAAGGAGAGGAAGACTTTCAATTTGACCTTCACCCTAATCTCATTTTCCATCACTGGTGTTATTTTATTTTTATACGGCAGAGTGTTCAAGACAGATTTCCTTACCTACACATCAGACAGATTATATCCCATTCAGTTTCTGCCTGTTTATAGAGCTTTTGACTCTGTGTATCATTCTGTGAAGGAAACTATGTTCTTCACAAAGTCAGGCATTTTTGATTCCTCTTTCCTCACTGCGATCCCCTCCAAATCTGCTCTTGAGGGTTTGCTGATCCATGGGTATTATGTGAAATATATTGGGGGGGGATGATGTAGATGGAGGGGTACTTTTGTTGAAATTGCTCCCCCCACACCTGTTGAAATGGAAGAACAACTTTGTAAGTTGCGCCCTATAAAATGACTATTGACCTGTAATGCTTGTTCATCTCTTGCTTTAAGCTCTTCAAGATCTTTCTTGTGTAGAACATCGGCACGATTGAGAGCATCTTCCACTGCATCCTCTTTTTCGGTCTGAGCCTAGAAAACAAGCCAGCTATGAAGAAATCTATGCATAGGGCATTCCACTATGGATTGCATACAGTGGTTTCGCTTTCTCTCTCCCCACTAGCAGAGGAGCAGCTGTCAACAGAACATATTCTCCATTTCTCCCTGAAGTCCCATAACCCAAATTTGCTCTGGAGACTTGGGGGAACCTCCGAAGCAGGAGAGGAGGGGCATAAACAAGGACAATTTCCTTTGCATGAACAGCAGCCCACTCATAAAATACTGGCTGTAACCCAATGTTTCTCATTCATTTTCTTTTTCACAGTACAGTGATCTAGTTTTCATAAATAACAAATGTCTGGACTGGGCTACTTTAGGCCACAGGTAACACTCCGACAACAAAATAGTTCTTCATAAGAAACAAATAATCACAGATAAATAATTGCTATAAGTAGAAATTAACTCTCAGGAAAAGGGAGTCTAGCCTAATTTCCTTCCCAACATCTAATCTTCTAAGTGGAGAATATTGGTTTATGCAGCATAGCAATCATGTGAACCGTACCACAGTCTGAACTGACTGTATCAGTATCAGCTTAGTAGTTTTTATTTTCAAAAACAGAGGTAAATGAGAAGGGGGTACTTAAAATTGTATCTCATTATGCTGTTATTGGCCATGATCAATGAAAACAATATGTCCGGACACTGGGAAGAAGAGATGTAAATTTAGGAAGCAAAAGTGTATTATTGTGCATGTCAGCCCACCAGTCTCAGAGTTGGTGGGTACTGAGGCCTGGTTATCTGTATCTCTCTGGCCTCCCCTGCCACAGAATGCTGGCCACTCTTCTTATATTTAGAGCACCCCAATCCAAGATTCCCGGATACAAGCCTGGTGGCAAGGTGCAAAGAGCAGTTCTAAAATCTGACAAATGCAGACCTTAGTGGAAGTCACAACGGTCTTTCAAAATATCATTGAATGGCAATAGATCCATCTACAAAAGTATGATATGTACTTGCTGCCTTCAAATGACTGTTAAATGGCCCTCAACAACTACTCCTAAGGCTATTACCCTGATGAGCTTTTTGCGTTTTTATTACAATTCACATTCCCCATCCCCTTTCTATGGCCAGAATCCTGTTGGTATTACATAGAAATCACAGAAGGAAGCCATTTGTGAGGAAATCAGATAGGTTATGGCTAGTTAAGTCGTACTTTTCCAGGCTGCTACAGGTGGTGCTAATCTGCCTGAGAAAGATGATTTGTTTTGCTCTGTTCCAGGCTGCACCAAGGACGTACCACGCTGAACCACAGGCATCACATTCCACTCCTAATTATTTGTTAGCAGAGATTCTCATGAAAACTGAAAGGAGGGTTTGAGAGAAGTTGCATTTTGAGGATGAAGTTACTAGACAAAGGACTTGAATCTGATTGGATAAATCATATTGGGGGAACATGGATTTAAGATCTAGCAAGAATGTAATTAGAAGGCTCTATTCATCTGTCTGCCGAAAATGGTGGATTAGGCATAGAGATGCAGTAGAAGAAACTTAGTCATGATTATTTATCTGGTAAATAGTTTTTAGGCAGAAGTAGGTAGCTTTTATTATTTTATGCGGAAAGCTTTCATACAGCTCACTTAATTATCTGAATATGCATTGCTTATTGCTCTCGCATTGTTTTGGAACGGTGCAACTACCTTTCGGAATTCTTTATACTGTTTTTTTAAATAATTTTAATAAACCTTTTTATTTTTTATAAACCTTCTTACCCAAGTGTGATCTTTGTGTGTGGGGGGGGGAGGGGTTTGAGTGTCTAAAGAACATGCCTTGGCCAAGAGGTTATGTTCACTAAGTTTATTACTTTGGCTTGTCTACCTTATCTAGTTGGTGTGCTAAGTACAAAATGCACAATCAGGAGAGAATTCCATCTCAGGTAAGGAAATAGGTGCAAAATCTAGATTAGAAGCTTGTCCATAGTGCTAATTCATGTACCTTCTAGGTCTCACGCAGCCTGGGGTTCAAAGGGTGATGAGTATAGTACTACTGAGGCTCCTTCACCTAGTGGAATGCCCTCAGGGGTTCCTTACTATGGTGGCAAGACAGCACAGGGATATTCTGAGGATTCATGCTTTTTGGAATTTTATACCACAGTTTGCACGACAATTTGCATGGTGATTGTAATGGTCTTTCGGGAGTTGTACTAAATTCAGAGCCTGTGTGCCCAAATGCACAACAGCCCAAAAAATTAAATGAAAAATGCACTTGCATGCATGCATGGCTGCATATGGTGTATTTTGTAATAGCATTTTGGTCCAAGAGTATATTAATGTCTGTTTACTATATTCCATGCACCTAAAGAGGCAGACTGCAGTCCACAAGGACTTCTGCCAAATAAAATGTGTTAGTCTTTAAGGTACCACAATACTCGTCATTGTTTTTGCTGCAACAGGCTACAGACTAACATGGTTCCCTCATAGCTATCAATAAATATCAAGAAAGGAAGCAATTTACTGTATGACTACAGAATATTTTTACCTGAAGCAGCAGTCTAGTTCGTACTTTATCAATTCTTTTTTCAATTTCAATTTCTCTTCTTTCTGCTTCTGCTTGCTTAAGGTCAGCTCCAAGCTCTGAATAAGCCAAGGAACAATTGAAAGATAGAATTCTAGAGGTTATATATGAATTATTTATTACATCTGTTCCTTTGCTTTACTATGTGAGATACCAGACATTTTCAGGTTCAAAGATAGTTAAGGTGATAGCCTCATGGCACAGTAGTTAAACTGCAGAACTGCAGCCAAGACTCTGCTCACAAACTGAGCTCGATCCCTCAGGTAGCCAGTTCAAGATTGACTCAGCCTTCTATCCTTCTGAAGTTGGTAAATTGAATATCCACCTTGCTGGGGTGGGGTGGGAACATGTAGCCTGCATAATTAAATTGTAAATCGCCCGGAGAGTGCTTTAAGTGCTATGACACAGTATAGAAGCAGCTCACCTTTTGCTTGAAATATTAATTATCTTGTTCTACCTATAAAACAAAACAAAAACAAAAACCCCGCAGTATAGAAGCAGCACACCTTTTGCTTCGCTTGAAGTTTAAGATATTTTTCCTTTAAAATACTAGAACTGCAAACATAATTTCTTTCACACTGGTGCACCTAGCCTTTTGTGGGGGGATGAGCACATGTTGATGGGATATAATACAATGGTCTGACCAAGCCATGTGGAAGCCTTACCTAGTTTAAAATTTTTGACATAGGAAGCAAATGTTGTAATCAGATTAATACCCAAGGAAGACATAACTTAGGTTCAACCCTTTGCAGAACTGTTAAAGAAGCATGTGGGGTTTAATTTCACACTTGAAATATTAATTATCTTGTTCTGCCTATAAAACAAAACAAAAACAAAAACCCCACCATATTTCTTTCTCAAATAGGTGAGGGATGATCACGTGGACCAGGCACCTACATGACTGGGAACCAGCATGGTGGTCCAATTTGGTATAACATACGGTATATCAACTGCATATTAATAACAATTGTGTAAAGTGATGTTAGCCATAATTCTTCTTTTGATAGTAGTGGTAGCACTATCCAGGGGCATGAAATCTGTGGAAACAAATCATGCAGTCACAAATGTATACTGTTGTCAATCAGGTAAGGCCCTGCATGACCTGGAACTCTTTATAGCTCCTCTAAGTAAGGAGAAATCACTAAGTCCTCTGGGTAGGCAGGATAACTCCAGAGGCTAGAGTAATGTGATGTACCACACATGTCAGCAGGTTTCTGTCAGTATCACTTGGAGGTAAGGCACTTATAAGCTTCCATCATGTCCCTCATCCCCTTTCAACTTTTTTGTAAGCTCAAAATCCTTCCTCTCCAATTAATTTTTCTATTAAAAAGATATTTCCACTTTTTAATTATTATTTTAAATTTCCCAAACATATACAAGAATACAAAATACTAATACAATCTAAAACACAGTGCACACCCATACCCACGGGACCCTTTGGAGCAATACTTTTATTACAAACCTCCTTTCCAAATTTGTATTGATTGTTGCTTAGAGGCTTTCCCCTTTCCTTTCACTAAAAAAATATTTCCAGTATACAAACATGTTTGTATACTGCTTTGCCACAATCCCCCACTAATTTTAAGATGTAATAACTTGAAGCACAAATGCTCATGCACAGAAGTCACAAAGTTATTTACAATGCAAGTAGTTATAGATATAATTCACAATTCCACAGCTCAGAAATGTAGTTAATTTTTTATTGTAACTATACTAAAAACTCTGTACAGTACCTGTCTGTTTCTCAAGTAACTTTAGTTGCCTTTTCAGTTATTTTAAATAATAGTTGAATGCTACAAACGATTGACCTGTAAAATAAATGTTTTCCTATCCACCTAATTTTTGCTTCCCCAATGAAGCATGACTCAGCAACAGAAACCAGCATTTGAACAATGTGATAGTCTACCCACCACATGATCTAGTGACACCACACCTCCATATCGACAGAAATAACTAGTTACATTGTGACAAGAGTAGACACGTTCTAGATTGGCGGTATATAAATCTAATAAAGAATGAAGTGATCCTTTATTGCATTTCTGTGAAAATATAGCCATACCTTCCTTATTTGAAAAAAAATATACCGTATATAAATAACTAGTTCCAAACTGTGCTCATATGTAGAGATATTCTTTTACTCTGAGCAGTGTTGGCATGATAGATTCTAAATGTATGGATCTCTGTTGTAAACTAACATGTATAATCTAGGACACCAACTTACCCAGTATATCTTTGTGCGTATAATACCGTGTTTTGTAAGGCTTATATTCCCTAATCCTTTCAAAGGTCTCTGGTGTAGGAGGTGGTGGAATTAGTTTTGAACAAACGGCACAGCAAACAAATGTGTCAAAATCTGGATTCCTAATCATGATTGCATCCAAGTTTTTTTCCTGCTCCACAGATAATAGAAGTCTTGATCGTGGTCTACATGCAGAAGCAAAGCCCTTGTTCTTGTAGGCAAAACAGAGTTAATGTGGTGCTTCCTTAGAATCCATCCACGTCAGTGGGAAAGGGAGGAATGTTTCATCATTGTATGGTAAGCTGATATTACCATGAAGCATCCACCTGCTTCTTCTTTAGCTCTGGTGTTAAAGAGCTCTCATATCATCTGGTCACCAGTCTGAGGATGTGGACTAACCTCTGACCCGGTAACTGTTGCTAGGCAAGGTAAGCTTTGCTCATAAAAGCATCTGAACCCCAATTAGCAATAAACAGGATCTCAAGGTATCTGTTATATTAAATAAATAACTCAAGGAAGTTTTACCTGCTTCTCTAAAGCCATTTAATATTCTCTATTATTCCGTTCTTGGGCAAAGTGTTAAAGTGGGTCATAGCTTCTCAGCTCCATGGATCCCTGGAAGAGACAGATTACCTAGATCCATTTCAATCTTAAAGTGTTAAGGTGGGTCATAGCTTCTCAGCTCAGTGGATCCCTGGAAGAGACAGATTACTGTACCTAGATCCATTTCAATCTGACTTCAAACCTGGTTATGGGATGGAGACTGCTCTGGTCACCTTGGTGAATGTCCTATGCCAGGAACTGGACAAAGGGGAGTATCTCCCTATGGATGCTGCTGGACCTCTCAGTGGTTTTCAGTACTACCAAAGGCCTTGGTATCTTTCTGGGCCATCTCTCTGGCATGGGATTTAGAGGCCCTCATTTACAGGAGCTCCGGTCCTTCCTGGAAGAGAGAACTCAGAAGGTGGTGCTGGGGACTCTTGTTCAACACCTGTGGGGGTCCCTCAAGCTTCTGTTTTATTTCTTATGTCATTTAACATGAAACTGATGGGAGAGGTTGTCCAGAGTTTGAGGTTCAGTGTCACCAGTATGCGGATGACACCCAACTCTACCTCTCCCTGCCCTTTAAATTGGAGGAGGCTGTTTTGGCTCTAGATTGGTGTCTAATGTCAGTAATAGACTGGATGAGGATGAATAGAACCGCATCAAGATAGAGGAGCTCCTGGTCAGTTGAAAGGCTGATCAAAGAACAGAGTTGCAACCTGGGCTGGGTGTAGTTACACTCCCTCTGAAATCACATGCATGCAGCTTGTGGGTGCTCCTGGATTCATCTCTGAGCCTGGATGCCCAAGTTTCAGCGATGGCCAGGAGTGCATCTGTATAAGTAAAACTTAGTGAACCTCCCGCACCTGTTCCTGGAAAGATCTGATTTGGCCATAATGACAAATGCCTAAGTTACATTCCAGCTGGATTACTGTAGCATGCTGTACATGGAGCTCCCTTTACAAAGTGTTCAGAAACATCAGTTGGTCCAAAACAGTGTAGCCAGATTGTTAACTGGTGCTGGTTACAGGGATCACATAACTCCTCTGTTACAGCCACTCTATTGGCTGCTAATCCATTCCCGGGCAGAATTGAAAGTGCTGGTTCTAACCTATAAAGCCCTAAATGGCTTCAGCCCAAGTTATCTCAAGGACTGCATCTCCCTTTATGAGCCTGCTCAAGTGTTAAGATCAGGAGGTGCCTTTTATCTTGGTCCTGTCAGTTGCGTTTGATGGGGACAAAAGAGAGGGCCTTCTCTGTTGCTGCTCTGACTTTGGAATTTCCTCCCACAGAAGGGCAGACTGACCCCATCTTTACTGTCCTTTCACAAAGGCAAAATACCTTTCTTTTCAGGAAAACTTTTCCTTAGTGACTGGCTGCCCAAGTGGGGGTTTTTAATGGAGTGTTGTGACTTACAGCTTTGCATGTGTTTTGGTGTTGCTTTTATTTACAGTTTTTTTTAGTATGGTATATGTTAAATCCTTTTTAGTATTTGTATACTCACTATTATTGGCTTCAAATACTATTTTTAGCTGCTATGGATCATTGTTAAGGAGAAAGGTGAGGCAAAATATTTTAAATACGAAAATAAATAGAATAATAGCCCTTTGGCACTTCTGGCCCACTCCCCATGGCAGCTGTAGACTCCCATTTGGGGGTACTGTGAATCTACTCTGCAGCACATTGTGAGAGCTATCCAAGGTGCTGAATCCTATCCCAATACAGTACTGGTTTAGCTAGTCCCAGCACTCCAAAATTAGAGTAGTACTGTGAATCTACCCTGCAGCACATTGTGAGAGCTATCCAAGGTGCTGAATCCTATCCCAATACAGTACTGGTTTAGCTAGTCCCAGCACTCCAAAATTAGAGTCACCAGCTGCCACTATCCTTTCCTAAACTGGCCCAGAAAATCTTAAGATCAGGCTGACGTTATTGCATAAAATTCAAAGGTATTTACTACCATGAATGCTGCAACACAGTGAGCTGCATATACCACAATCCATTCCTTAAAAACTCTGGCTTTTATTCGGAACAAGTACAAGCATTTCATGTTGGATATTATGTTTCAAGAGAATCATCCATTGCTGAATAGAAAAATGATGGCTCCTGCACAAAAATTCTGAACAATTACAACTCAAAAAGTATGTATACAATTTTTCCTCCTGCCACATTGATACACACCATGTTAGAGATCCATTTCTCTAGTCCCATTTAGAAGTCTTCCGCTTCATTTCTCTGTTTCCTTCGCTGTCAATAGCTTCGTAGAGATCCTTTATATTCTCTTGCTGTGCATGCAAGTATCCAATGTAGGCCACACAAAGTGTAAGGGTCACAAGCCCAAAAGTCATAACTGCTTTGTTCTGTGAAAATTGAAATATATGTATCAATCAATCATTTATTTACAAAGACCAGCAATACATTACAATTAAAATATAACTTCCATAACCTCCATAACAATTTTTAATATTTTAAAAATTTCATTATTAATAATAGATAATAAAAATATTAATATTTTTCAGTCCCACTCCACCTGCAAGAATTGTGGCTCTCTTGCTATCTCTTTCATTGTGAGGAAGCCATTGAGGGCCATGAAATATGGTGGAAATCTTTAATACCAGAAAATCACCATCAGCAGGACGATTTTACCAGTAACAGCAAATTTCAGAAATTAAAGACTCCATTACTTGTTCCATTGCCCCAAATTGCTTCCCAACAATGAAACCCTTGGGACCTTGAAGGGGAAATAAGAAACTTTAATTTCCAAAAATAAACTGTGACTGATGACATCATCAGCCTTACGTGACATAAATTACGTGGCTGGTTTTAAGCCGTTATATACAAAGCTTCCCCACCTTCCAAAGGTATTATATAGTAAAATGTGTCTCTTATTTTCTTATCCATCTTTGTTTCAGTTTCAGGGAGGGGAAAAGAAAAATACTGAATGAAAGCTGCCATATACTATCCTGGGCATAATACTTATTGAAAGCAATGGGACTTCTTTGTGCATAGGCATGTTTAGAATTACACTGTAGATTGCAGAATTATTTTAAAAATAGCAGCTGCCACGGATCTTAAGGAAAGTTTTATATAAAATCAAGGGAAGCACTGTACAGTGTAGCCAGTGCAATAATGTATATATTCTGCATTTAAGTTCGACATACCCTAAAACTCTGATCAGATAGTAAGTTTGCAGATTGTGATTATGTGGGCCAACTATCTAAAATGCAGTTTTAACACTGCTTGACCAAACCCTTACTTAGATTGTTTTGTCACTTAGAACAAAGTGTTTGCATTTGGAAAACTGCGGTAATCTGCTCTAATCACACTGAATAGCATAGCACATAAATTTCATATATAAATGGTCACTAAAGGCTATTTTTTAACATATTATACTTGTCATCCCTTATCACTTTTATTAATTTATTATTTATTATTCCAACTTCTATACTGCCACCTCACTGCAAACACTCTCTTGGCAGTTCACAACCTATCAAACCTGACTATCAACAATCGATTAGTCAGGACACACAAATATTTCAACCACAAATCTAGCAGACAACTAGCTGTATTTAAGCCGACTGACTTCAAATGATCTAAACTCTGCAGTCAGAATAACATACAGTACATCAGGCATATATGCATTGTGACTACTTCCCTACTCCACATCACACCAAAACATTTTGATGCCACACAACTCTCGAAAGTTACAGCTTTATTTTTTCCCCATCAAAGCAGATGCTAGTTGTGAATAAAAATTAAGATGAGAAAGCATTCTATATAGTTAAATACAATATAAGTAAATATAATATAAATCGCAACATTTCTTGACACAAATCATTGCCATTCTTTAATACACTTCTTACAGGTTTAATAAAAAGTTCTGGGTTTACGGCACGGAACAGGGTGGTAGTTTTCACACCTCGGAGCCCTGGACTTCGATAATCTTTATCCTTAGGTGCTTCATGTTGTAAATCTGGAGGTTGAGGTGCAGAAGACATCTTACTGCTGCAGAAAACATTCGGATAACGTAAGTATCACAGACAATGTACAAATGATCTGACCAGCAACACGGCAGATTTCAGAGCCTGGGGGAAAAATATATATACTTTATATATTTATATACGGTATATTATTCCGCCCCAGAATCTGAAATCTGCAGTGTTCTAGATTATTTGGTCAGATCATGTGTACCGTTTTGTGATCAAGAATCCTGCGAGCATAAAAGTAGCCTTCCAAGTTCGGGCAGGGGCATGAACCCAAGGATATGCCACTAAAGGGGGTCCCCCCCCCACTTCACTCCCCTCCAACTTCCGCGCCAAACCTGGCTCCCCTTTCGGCGTCCCAGGCGCCCAGTAAGTGAGAAGACGAAGGACGGAAAAGACATTCTAGGAACGCCCCTCCCATGAACGAGTTTGTGGGCGCCCCCTGCTGGTTTGGAGGCTTCGTTGACGTTCATTGTAGGCTGAGACTAAGAAGCAATCCTGTTAACGAGGGAGTCCAGCTTAAATCGAAATTCAACCAGACTTCTGAATAAACCCCCAGGGCGCTGTAAACATTATTGACCCCAGGAAGAGTCAATCGTCTTGTAACGCGTATGTCTCTCAAACCTAAAGTTAAGGGGAAATATTGAATACTTTAGTCTTATCGTTTGGGTTTTACCCTTTTTTGGTTATAGAAAAGTTTTTAAAGGGTGGGAGTAGTGTTAAAAACCTGCAGGTGCTGAAATACTAACTCACCAGCGACCATAAAGGTTGCACCCATTCACCATAAGTAATCCATGTGGAAAGTTAGGGAAAACTTGTTAGAAATTAGAGTGCCCAAAGAAGAAAGTAGAAGTCAGATCCATTAAAAAATAGATCTTCCTGTATCTCTATACCTGGGGTCGTCCCTGAACTACTGTACTATCAATTCATAGACCCTATCTGTGCCCCCAAACTAAGGCATAAAAATCCTTGGCAGCGATGCCAAAAGATGGATGTGGGTTGTGCATCCCTGTAAGAACTTACTAAGGACATAGTTATTACAGGGGAAACTCCCTAAATGCCCATCAAATAACAGATTCCATCCATACCAACACACTGAACCATAAAAATCACATATCACTTACTGTGTAGTATGGTGGTGGTGCAAAAAACATGGATCAGCAGCATGGAGCCACATTATTTTTGCATAAGATCCTCTCCAAACCGCAGTCAATTTATAAATAAATCCCACTTGTGTCCACAGGTCTGCTCATTAAAAAATGGATATCCCTCTGCACAATGATGCTGTGGTGCAAAACAGTATAGATGTGCAGATTCTCATAGATTTCCTTGATTTCCACATGGGATCATCCCAAAGCATAGATTAAATTAATGCTTACAGACAGAACCATAAGAGTCCTTTACTACATAGCTCTGTGATGGCACAACTACATTAATTTGAAGCACAGATCCTCAGCAATCAATATGATTTTTCCTCAGGATTCTCCCCAAACCACTGTCAAATCATAGATTAAACTGTCCTCAGTGACCAAACTATAAAAATCATGATAGGAGATCCATGAGGAATCTGTGTATAGTAATTAGATATGTGATTGGATGGTGATTTCAAGAGGATCCCATGTTAAAATCGCATGGCTCTATGACAATCTGGACCTCCAGTCGAAGGTATTGTACTGTGCAAGTACCTTGAAGCTAGGGGCTTATTATTTTTATGCTTTGGTTTATGTGCACAGAGGACAACCCATAAAAGTCATGGATGTCCTAAAATCTGTGAATTTAGGATCTGCACCTAAAGTCTAACGTAATAGTAGTAAGATTTGGTGCCCTTTGCTGGATTTTGGTTTAGGAATGGGTTGCAAAACAGACAAGAAAGCAAAATAACCTAATAAATACATTTGTAAGTATAAACCAAATCACAGACGTCCTCTTCTATATAACTTTTCTGAAATCTGGACATCCTGAGTTCTTTGATTCACAGTTTGGACATTTTCTACCAGTACCAGAGAAGTAGCGGTTTGCTGCCACCTTCTGTACAGCCAGCTTCCCCCTTCTCTTTCTTTTTTATCTCAAGAAGATAGGTGGCAAAGCTTGAACAAACACTGATGTGGAGCTAGAATTCAGTAGTCAACAGACCATTGGCAGCATCATATCCTTTAATAAATTGGCTCCCCACCCTACCCCATCGTGTATGCAAAGAGAAGGCAATTTGTCAGTCACTGAACTATAATTTGCCTATGTTTGCAAACATTGCAGAGTAGAAAACGCCAAACATCTACTTTGATACCAGGGATTCAATGGGCCATCTGTGTTTTGTGTCAATATTTAACTCACAACACATCATCTGCTGTACTTGTTGCTATTGTTGTGGCAACAGCTTTTATACTGCATACACAGACAAGAAAAGAAATAATGAATTCAATTTCCACGCACTTTCCTACAAGGAAAAAAGCTCCCATAAAATATGACACAGTATTGGAGTACTTATTGTTTAGTTGTTTTGTTGTGTGGAGGGGAAATAGTGCAGTAATCTTTATATGGTATCCCACTGGGTTGTGTGGATGGCAAAGCATGAGACATCTCAATGCAGGACTACTCCCCATTTTTAAAACCACTCTCCCTTTTTAAACTTCTAGATGAGACTTTTACTGTGCAGTTATTTTTAATGGAAATAACAGGAAATCCAGATACTACTTTTTTTCATTCTCCTATGTTTTTCCTTCCTGCTTTTTCTTACCAGAGAAAATCAATTAAGAGAAAGAAAAACAGAATAACTAAATACAGCTCTTAAATTTTTGAGTGGTGAGAACCCTCTGTTTGGAATCACTCTCATTCTTCATATTGTTCCGGTCATCATGTACCTACCTTCTGCTCTAGAAGTAAGTTCTTTGGATTTATCAGAATTTAATCCCAGCCTTCATTTATTAAAAATTAATAATTATCAAAACAAATTAAGAGATCATATTCGTGAAGGCTTTCACGGCCGGGATCTAATGGTTGTTGTGGTTTTTCCGGGCTCTTTGGCCATGTTAAATTCTGATTAAATTTCGGGCTCTTTGGCCATGTTCTGAAGGTTATTCAGCCTTCAGAACATGGCCAAAGAGCCTAAAAAACCCACAACAACCAAATTAAGAGATTCTTGCTCTGTATAATTTTGTCATAGACAGCTGGGTATACTTTGTCTACCTGATAGATATAAGGACTTTCAACTGGTTTCTCACAGTATCTTCACATCATAAAGAGTTTTTGATGATGTATAAAAGGTTTGAGCTTTACATATGTAGATAACACATACCAGGTGGTGTTTTTTTAAAAATGCAGTCATTGTAAACAGTTACATTTTAATTAAAGATCGTATCTGAAGTAAAATAGTGCTGTTTTCATTTTATCATCTGTTGTGAGAAGCAGGTGGATTGAATCGCTTGGCCTTGCCTTGCAGACAAAGCATAAAGCAATGTTTTGCCTTAAAATGCCAAGCAAGGTCATAAATGAATCATTTCAGATGGATAGAACATGGAAAGCGAGTAGTGTTCTGTTCCATCCATTTTCATAAAGTCTGATCATGCTCAACAATGTCATTGAATAAATAGGTCCTCCCCAAAGCCTGAAAGGTTTAGAGTAGAATCAGGTTTTTGTCAGATAAGGAAAGCTAAATGAGAAATAGACATGCTTTTCAATGTATTGTTCTCTGAAACATGCATGCTTTTTCTCTGACATTTCAGAATTCATCCCTCAGTACAGTGGTGCCTCGCTTAACGAGCGCACCGTTTAACGACGAATCCGCATAGCGATGCGTTTTTTGCGATCGCTTTTGCGATCGCATTGTGATGTTTTAGATAGGGAAAACATCGCTTTCCGATGCTCAGTAAGCGTTTCGCTTACCGATCTTCGCATTGCGATATTTTAAAAACAGCTGATCGGCGGTTCCAAAATGGCTGCCGGAAGAAAAATGGCCACCCGCAGCATTTTCGCACCCTGTCCTCGCTTACCGGGCAACAAAAATGGCGGCCAGATGGAGGATTTCCGCATAGCGGTTAGTTTTTCCCCCATAGGAATGCATTAAACGTGTTTTAATGCGTTCCTATGGGTTTTCTTTCCCCGCATAGCGACGAATCTGGATAGCGACGATTTTTTCCGCATGGATGATCGTTGCTATGTGGGGCACCACTGTACATGGTCCAGTTCTGATAAGTTTGAAACACAAGCTATCAGCCAGTCTTAGTCAGAGTAGACCGATTCAGAAGGGACTTACATTAGGACAACTAACTCAAGTTCTGTTTATTTCACTGAGTCTACTTTAGGTGCAACTAAGGCTAGATCCAATTCATTGTCTCCAGTTTATTCAAATCTGTCTCCCACCTCTAATATTGCTGCATGGAATACATTTTAATTTTTTTTTAACTATGGCAAGAGAAAAGAAGAAAAATGGATGAAATGTCAGGGCCCAAGACCCAAATGCACACTGGCACCTCATCCACGAGGCACAAAAAATTATGTAAACCTTATAGCAGTACCAGTACAATTCTACGCCACCCTCATTCTTCTGCTTTTTCTCTTGCCTCCCCTTTGCTTATCTCTCTCCACTTCTTTTTTTTTACTGTTTTACTGTCTCATTTCCCTTCTCTTTCAATTAAGCTAAATAAAAGTCATTGATCTATTCCTGATAAGACTCATCTTACTTAGGTTAGTTTTGTGCTCTGTTTGACCAACTAAAGTTTTGCAGAATCGGTGCATCATACGTAGGTGAGGTTGGGGAGTTAAATACTGTTTATTCACTGCTGGAATGTGTGTATAAATATAAATGATAAATTTAGCACGAGCTATCAATATTGTCTCCTCTACCTGAGATATCTGGGAAAATTAAAGGGTACTTTATACTTAATTGGGTCATGCCACCCTGTATTGTCAATGCTGATTAATAATGGCTGTCCAAGGTTTCTCTGAAGGTTGTTTCTTATCCCCAGTTGGATCTCTTACTGGCATTGAATGTGGAATATTTTTGCATGAAGGCATGTACACTACCTCCGAGCTTCACTCCCTGTCCTTTGTAAACATGGATGTATTGTCAGAGTCAGTTACACAGACTGCAAGTATTATTTGCCCAGTTATGTTTCTTTTCATGGTTTATTGTTTTCTTTAGTGGCCTTTGATATTTTACTTCCTGATGAATCAGGATACAACAGACCCAAGAAAGGAACCCTTGGTAGGGTTTTCTTGGAAAAGTGGAATAGAAATATTTTGAATAACTCAGAGTGCAGTCAGACAGCTAGAAAGGCCTGAGCCTGATTGCACCAGTAAGGGTCACTTCCATGGGCGTGACCTCCCTTATAGCAACCCTTTCCATTAGTCAGGAAATTGCTTTAGGCCAGCTCCAAAAT